TATATATATATATATATAATTTTTTGTGTGTAATGCCGATGCTTATTTTAATAATATACAACATTACATACACGTTTGTCCAGATACCGTAATAACATGAATAGATTCCTACATATGCCGGTACACTGCTTATTCCCCCCGCGGAAAATCGCGCGAATATATTTACTATCTTCTAGAATCGCTTCTAGTGCCTTTAGTAGAGGAGAGATTTAGAGAAGTAGAAGAAGAATTAAGAATGTTATACGTTATATAGCTAATATCCTAATACTATTTATTGTTATTTGGACAGTCCCCAACTGGCGTATCATCCGATCGAAAATGTATTATGTACAACAACAATAGGTTTCTCAGTATAGGTTTTCTATTCGTTCTTTCTATACGTTCATTGAATTAAGTATTTTTGTTCCTCGTCTCGCCGATTAATTCAAGATGTCGACAACGTTGTGCCTTTGTTCGCACAATCGCAGCTAATCACTCGAGGCAGCTGATTGTAATTACAGCATCGCGTTGCGTCCAACGATCGTTTAGATATCACACGATATACACAATTTATATAGTACTGGTGGTAGCGTCGCAAAGCTTGAATTGAAATGGATAACGAAGATTAAACTGCGGAAAAGAGAGAATTGAATAGGTCCTATCAGCGATGCATCGCTTTGCGATCCCGGAATGCGAAAAGATGCAAATATGTAATGTTCTTGATGTAGATTTTTACATACAGAAGCATATATATACATATATATATATATATATATATATATATANTATATATATATATATATATACACACATATATATATGTGTGTGTATATATGTATATATATATATATATATATATATATATATATATTCGTATATATTCGTATATATACGTATTAGTGATAACACATATATATGGAGAGCTATATAAAGAGTATGTATACATCATATTGTAAATAATTTCGATTTTACATGAACTTTTTTCACACTTCAAGCGACGTTTTCATATTTGCACTTTTATATACATATATATAAATACGATATATATAGATACGATTTGTAATGCGCGGCGTATATGTCGGCGTTATCGCAAGGAAAATTGTAGATACATTATTGTTATCCGGGTCATTTGCAAAGAATTATATAAATATAGCCTCCGTATTATTTAACAATAACAGCAATACGCCTGCCTACTTTTAACTCTTCTTTTTTTTTTGTATAGACGCAACGATATAGATACAACAATATTTAACTGTATTAAATTTCTTACATCAGAACACGTATCGTTGTTGTTTCCTATTGCTCACACATCTTTGTATCCCCCTTCATATTGTCGTTCACTTTCTCCTATAAAATTCGTACAGAACCGAAGCGTGGACACTTTTCATAATGAACAAAACCCCGAACGCCGGTCTACAGTGGAAATATCCGAACGACTTTAGATAACGACGATAAGAAATGTTGAAAAGCGAGCGCATAACGAACGGCAAGGAGATGCGTCAGGTGCAAAGTGCGGTTGAGTAGGAAGAAAACGAGCAACATTTCTATTCAATGCATATTAAGCAATATTCTTTGGTGAAAAACATTATCACCCCGATGGAAATTTTTTTGCTGAAATACTCTCTCGATTGATCCGATTTCATTGGTACACGTAGTTTTCGGTTTCAGTTGATTCGGTAAATTTCATCGTATATAATATTTCACAAATCTTTTTACCACTTCTCAAAATTATATTCTAATTTACTACATCGTATTTCACAACGTTACGTTGAATTTCACGACAAAAATAATGATCTATTTCGAAATATTTATTATTACATATTTCAGTAATTTTCCAGTAACTCTCATCGGGTTCACAGTATACCAGTACTCGAATATAAGGAAAGTTAAAGTATACTGCTAAAATCTATTGAATTTCACTGAAAATTGCATACATTCCCTTACAAAAAAATATTACCGCCTACAATAAATTGGCCAGTAATAAATTACTGTTGCTCAGTAATTTTATTATTCGAGTAATAGAATTATTGGGCAATGATAATTTATCGTAGGCATTAATACTTTTCTATCAGACGAAGTTGACGGAGTGATAAAGAAATGGGGTCAACTGAGAGAGAGAGAATTTCGATAAAATTTCCAGCACAATATTTCCATCGGGCTGTTCATCGACAAGCGATATTCTTCAACGAGAAAATATTGAGAACCAACATTTCTACTTATTATCGGCCGTCGTCGTTAGTTTCTACCGCTGGTCTCGATTGCTCGAAGAAGGTGCTCCTCGTGCACACGGAAGGTCTCGTCTACGTTCTCCCGCGTCGATGGCGGGCCTCGAAGACGGAGGTCGCTACCGGAAAGGGCAGGATTGGCGTGAAGAGTGGCTCGTCTACAGTATGATACGTATATCCGGGTCAACATAACCTCGAAGCTGGCGAGAGGAACAGATAACTCGCTATCTACGGATGGACTGTCAATTCCGGTGCGTAGAGGGGCGTGTTTTGCGACCGCAGAAAGAGGCCGGGGAAATTCGTGTAGACTGACCAGAGTCCGCGAATTTCCGTTAGTCGGTGCCGCCGTAGAACGACCGGAACGACCCGGGACGTCGGAGTGTCGCTAATAATAAAGTTTAATCGGCGACCGCGCCCGTTCCGCGAGCGTCCGCACCGCTGATTCATCGAGATACCGCGAGACATCGCAGCCGCCGCCGCCGCATCGCCGTGTCTTCTCGATTGTCCCGAGGCATCTCCTTTTCGCAGGTAGCAGAGCGCGAAATGACGGAGGTCCACAACTTCGGTGTCGATGCCATCAGTTGTCATGCGTGGAACAGAGATAGATCAGGTAACTGGGGGACGCACGCTTTTTCTCTCTCTCTCTTTCTCTTCATCCGCCGGCCGTGTTTTCGTCGTCGTCGTCGCTGATATCGCGACTTCGCTTTGCACAGAGGTTGCCATTTGCCCGAACAACAACGAGATCCAGGTGCACAAGCGCACCTCGTCCGGATGGAAGTTGCTGGAGACCCTGCAGGAACACCACATGGCCGTGATGGGTATCGACTGGGCGCCAAAGACCAATCGCATAGTCACCTGTTCTGCGGACAAGAACGCGTATGTGTGGACTCAGAAAGAGGACGGCAAGTGGGATCCCGCGTGGGTCCTCCTTCGGATAAATCGAGCCGCTACCTGCGTCAAATGGTCTCCTCTAGGTACGCCGATTCACCTCGAGATTCCCTCGCGAGGGGCCTCGCTTGTGTGCGACGCGAGTTTACACGAGAGAACTTCCTCTCTTCTTGCAGAGAACAAATTCGCCGTGGGTTCCGGCGGCCGAGTTATAGCTGTTTGTTACTTCGTATTAGAGAATAACTGGTGGTTATGTAAACATATAAAGCGTCCGCTGAGGTCAACCGTGACCACTGTCGATTGGCATCCGGACAACAAGATCTTGGTCGCGGGCTCCACGGACTACAAGGTCCGGGTTTTCAGCGGATTCATCAGTGATATGGAAGACGCCCCCGGCACCAGTCCCTGGGGTCAGAGTAACAGCTTAGGGACACTGCTGGCTGAGTTTCCCAACACACCCAGTGGAGGTAACGAGTCGCACGGATGGACATTCCGAACTGCTCGGGTGAAGCTTCGATTCCCAAGCCGATCTGTACCTTTTTTTACGTTCCAGGCGGCTGGATACATTCGGTAGCGTTCAGTCCTTGCGGCAATAAAATCTGTTGGGTGGCGCACAACTCGTCTATATGCGTCGCTGACGCTGCGAAAGGGAACGCGGTCGTCAGACTGTACACCGAGCATTTACCGTTTTTAAGTTGCATTTGGATAGGATCTAATAACATTGTCGTCTCGGTAATCGACGGGCCGCCTCCTCGAAACTTTCACAACTCTTTGTCGCCCTTGTTATTGTACCACTAACGAAAGGTAAACCTCTCTTTCTCTCTCTCTGTGTGTCTCTCAGGGGCATAGCTGTATGCCGATGTTGTACACCGTGGACGACAACGGGCAGATATACTTCGCGTCGAAGCTGGACAACACGCAGAGGAAGGAGACCGCCGGTTTGTCCGCCATGCGAAAGTTCCAGTCTCTCGACCGGCAGGCCAGGAACGAGACTAACGATAACGCGCTGGACAGCGTACACCAAAACACGATCAACTGTGCTCGCCGGGTATCCGATCATGAATTTAGCACAAGCAGTTTAGACGGGCAACTTGTAGTTTGGGACTTAAAGGTAAACGGCGCGCCACGTGCCTCTGTTATTCCGTCACCTGCGAGGTCAACGCTGTATTAATCGAACCTTCTTTTTCTTTTTCTCTCCCCTCGATCAAGCTTCTAGAGAATTCCATTGCTGGTCTCAAGATAGCGTAAGCATGAAACTTTTTTTATATTGCGAAGATCAGAGATATTACATCCAATACAACGATGTATAAATGTTAAAATAAATACTATACAATTTCTCATTATATAATCGATCGTGTCGATTAAATGTCTTTCGCATGACGCCGACGACCCGCTGGGCCGAAGGAGACATCGTCTCTCCCGTGCTCTTCCGTGCTGTGTGGGTAAAATATACGAAAACCGGGCTCTTGCGGAAAAGGTAATATTAGCGACGTCGTTCGACGTCATCGGAGAGGAGGGGGGGTATAAGGTGTCCTAGAAGTGTGTATTAATACATGTATCATATATACGATGATAATGATATACAATGTATCTTCTAATTTTAAACTGATCGACTGATTGGAATTTTATTTAGAAGTTGAGGCGGGGAAACAAGCGATGAGGTAGTCACTGTGATCACATAAATATTTAAGCGGCTCACAAATATCCTTTTTTTATTATACGGTGCTGGCTCGGAGAAAGAGAGAGAGAGAGAGAGAGAGAGAGAGAGAGAGGATCAGGCAAGTAGTTGTGTGATGGGCGGCAGAGGCTCTGAATTTAAATTTTTTGATAACGTTTCAATATATCCGAGCTCGAAGCATTTATGCATCGACAATTCTTAAAAGACTTTCCTTTTTCAATGTAACGAAGTTCCTTCTTTTTTTTAACTCCGAACATCGATAGTTCCACCAATAAGTAGGGAGAAACTAGGTTTAAATTGTTTATTTTTTCGATGGTAAGCACCGGGATACAATAAGGAAGAAATAATGAACCGATCCAAAATTGATCATAAATATCCAAAGGAAAGCTAGATGAGCAATATTTAAACCTACGAACTACTCTCACTCATATCCCGACTATCCGAGAAACACGAGAATAGAAAAGAACCGGGAAAGAGAGAAATAGCGGAGTCATAGAAATACGTTTGAACGAAGCGCGTGCAAGGACGAAAGTCCTGTCGACCGACCCGTAACAGGTCTAACCATCGAAAAAGTGACGATGTCAAAGACGAGCTAATAACGCCGACGTTTTTTAAGTGAGATCAACGACATCTAAGTTCCGTTTTTTATAGCCGAACTTCTCGCACCAGTGCGAGAAGCGTAAAGCGTACCGTAATCTGACCTCTCTTTTATCGATAAAAAGTGCCTTAAATGTGGCTTCTCAGCCAATCGGATGATTTCTAAGCCATTTTTATCATAATAAAAGAGAGCTCAAAATACGAGCCTATGAATGGACTCCTTTTGAGTGCACAAAGGTGTAGATAAGAACACGAATGATCGTGTGTTCGTCGCTGAGCTCTGGGCCGTTTCTGTCATTCATTATGATTTAAATTAATTGACGATTAACTCAACAGAATTGACCAATCGTATTGGCTGATTAGCTAAACTTATCAATATGATTGGTTAATCCCGTAAGTCGCTAATCGTCGATTAGATTTAAACCATTTCACCATAATGGTTGGAACCGGCATAAGTGAGTCAGGACCCTAGAGATGGCGTACTTATCTGCACTTTATATACCTTTCGTACATTTTCCATATTTTCCTACACTTAGAAGGACTCCATTTAAACACTTCATTATACTATTTACACTTGATCTTGAGCAAGTTCAATGAGTATAGAGCTTGTCATACTCTTAAAATTTAAATTTGGAATTTGTGAGTATAATAACGTAACGCTAAAGAGATAACAAGTTATATATTTATTTCTTTTCTTATTAATATTTAAACTTGTTACCTTAAAAAAAATATATTCGAGATACACATATATATATATATGATAACGATACATATATATATATATATATATATATATGATAAAATATTAAAATCATTTTTTCCATCGTGCTGTGCATTTGTATTATTTTCGCGTATTTTATCTCCGTTACAGTGTGATTCCAGCGGAGCTGAAGAGGGTAAATTTCGGTGAGGATAAATTTCAACGAAAGAAATCTGTTATCTGCGTCATATTTGCGTAACATCAGACACAACGTATCTCGAAGCGAAGTCTTATTGTTCTCTGTGGGTCGTGTAGGAAAGTGCATTCCCCGATATTTTATAGTTCAGCAGCGGTTACGTATCTGGTTCGCGGGCGCGACTGTACATGTGTTCCTTACGTGTAATTGAATCCATTTACTGGTTTTTTGGAAAAGAAAACAGAGGACGATCAACATTCCAAGCCTCTTTCTCGAGTGGAATTAACATTCACGCGTACGTCTCGATATATGTTAAAATAAGTGCATACTACGGATTTATTATCAGACAGCGCAGAGGCACAGACGTGTGTAAATCGTTAGCCTTCAACGTCGGGATTTATCAAACAACAGTGTCGATGGTACGCTTAGCATCTGTACAATATATTTAGTAACACACGACGTCACGTCGTGATTTCAATTTAGAATAATATTCTAGCAAAGAGAACTAACGATAATTCTTCTTAATTTAACAGGTACGGCAATGCATACATCCTTGTCGAGTATGTGATTGCCAAACAAGAGCTACTCGTTTAGATATGAATCTCTGGCCATGCTGTTAAGATCGTCGACGTACTCTGGAAGAGTGAATTCAATCATAAATTGCTGAGAATCTGATATTAACGAAAATAATACAAATTAAAGATATATATACATAGATATTTCTTGTGGTAGTGGAACGCTAACCTTACAAGTGTACTTGCATATCGACCTGATCACATCTGCACGAGAGGAGCTGATCATCATGCAAAAGCTACCTTCTGAAATTTTCCTGGGAAGCGGCGGCACTCTACATCGTTCCTTGATGTTCATGTTGAAGTTGGGCTGGCAATCGAGATTCCGTTTACCAGTGCTTCTGGTCATTGTCTTCGTCGCTATGGACTATAGGTTGCAACTGGAGATTGAGTTTGGGAATAATGCAGAACAGCATAATCACTTGTGATCAACACAGGAAGGATTATAGAGATATAAGATTCTATTAATATATATATATATATATAAAGCATACATATAATACTTATTATATATGTGTTATATGTTTTTTAAAAAATAATCATATATAATAATATATATGTATATGTTAACACTTTGACCACTGCTGTTGTACACATACAACAACAGTTTACTATTGTAACTTAGGAGCTACATTATATTCTATTCCATGTACACAGATTTGTGCACAAAAAGGACGTTCATTGCTTTGAATACCATCTGAGCAAGCTCTTGAAATCTGCTTGCGACAGTTAAAAAGTTTTCTGGGAATAAGTACAGTCAAAGTGCTAACATATGTGTTATATATATATATATATATATATTGATATTTATATCATGCGCAAATTGCAAAAGTAGAGTATTGAACTTGAATATTAAATTATAATAGTCAAAATGCAGTTTCTAAAATAATGTATAGGGAAACATCGATGTGACAGAATTTGCATGATACATAAGTATATATTGTTCAATGATGATTTTTTGTAAATATTTTAAAGGTAAAAAGGCTTTTATTCTTGTAAATGGAATGTTGCGTATGTGCATGTATGTGACATATAGTGTATGTATTTGTGTGTGTGTGTGTGTGTGTGTTACAACCAAAGCAAAATTCGATTCTTCCGCTAATTGATTCAGTTCTCCGCATTTTGGCTGATTCTGTTGGTCACAATAATTAAGTGAAAATAATGATAATTTCATAATCTGAATAGCTGTAATTGGCAAATCGACTACAAGCGTGTAGTTTAGAAAGGTGTTGTTAGTTACGTTCTTGTTATAACTTAAACACGTTTAATGATTGTGGTGTAAAAAAGATACAATACCTTTATTTATTGCCCAATTTGTGGGAAGGATTAAAGACTGTACAATAGTGATAGAAAATTAATGTAAACTATTATATAAGATATATGGTTGTATCAATTTGCACAAATTATATTTTATTTATTTATATATAGTTTATTCAATATTAAAACGGTAAATTCATATATGAAATAGGCGCAAAATAAACCTGCGGCCTGATGCTATTTTCGCGTATTCTTCGCGATGACAGTCGCTTGCGCAGGTCGAAATAAGTAACGTATTAAGATCGAAATTTCGAGATACCGCCAGCATGGCGGAAAAGAGGAAACAATGATTTATATGCCTTTTTAGGGAATAAATAGATAATATATAATTCCTGAGTTATTAGAAAAATATACAATGGAACAGAACTGATGTATAGCTGTTGAAATTATGAAGTATTATACAGCACCGTTAGAAAAATAACGATAGAAGTATAAGGCCGTGAAAAGCGAGCACGGATGTTTAGTGCTATATTTAATACTAATATCATAATTATTATTAATATTGGATATAGCATTATGCTTCTATCATTATGGAAATTAGACTTAAGGAACAAACTAATTATTATTACTACTAATTATTATAACTAATTATTTATACTTACGAAGATTTTTCTATCTGTATATTTAAAAGTTATTTAATAAAGAGGAAAGGAAGAAACAGAAGGTATTGTAGAAAGTTTGGAAGCTAATTTACATCACGAAGCTGCATGATAAATTTAGCGAGCAAGGATTTCACTTGAGTTTGTAAGAATTCAGAAAATATTTGTCACATAATGAAGGAATTATATATAATGTATTATATTGTGTTAATTGCGTCATAATTTATGTATTTACGATATAAAAAAATATCTTACATAAAAAGTGAGATTACAAAATAATAACTGTTGATTGATACATATTTCGTTGTATCATGCGGCCGTTGAAATAAATTATGATATAAATTATAACACTTTTTTACATTGACGAATAAATAAATAATGATCTTCAATTTGTACGAAAAGGATGTTATAAATTAGTGAATCTTCCGTTTCTCTCAACTCTCGGCCGGAATAGGATCAATTCTACCGGAATAGAATCGTGGCTAAGGGTGAATCTCCCGTAGGTGGTTGTACAAGCCACGATAATCCCGCAGAGAACGCGTTTGTTGTCAGGACACGTCTGACTCATGAAGAAAAAGTGGTAGCGGTGGTACCATGCGTCCCCTTTTTTGCATTCCTCTTCGACCTACTTCGAGGGCGTCGTATGCAAGCCTCGACGAAGAAAAATTGGCCGGTAGTAAATTTCGCCGACGTTCAGTTTCACTTAGACTTCGTGTGCCGTTCGTAGAAGAGGGGCTTCGGTTTATATAGGCGTGCAAGTGGAAATTACGAGGTTTTCTTCGTCCAGCCGTCCCGATGGAAACCAGACTTATCGGCTCTCGCAATGTCTTCGGGATCCTGCTTCTGTTCGGTTCCTTTTTGTTGCAAACTGAAACGATACTGGACCCGGAAAATTTCCGTGAGTGCGTTAATAACGCAGCGGTTTTGCGCAAAATTCTTTCCGAAGTGCGAAGTGCGAAATACTACGGTTTCCCGAAGATTTTTTTTTTCAAAATTCTGCTAACCGGCAGAATCTGATTCTATCTTTTTCTATCTGATATATTTTGCATCACAGGAAATAAAGTGTATATTGACTGTTCTAGAGAGAAAACTAATTGCCTTAAACAAAGTGCTCGATTACATTTACAATAAAGCCCAGCGGATGAATGTTGACGTAATTTTCGGTGTTACTTTAACCGAAGGTAAGAAATCCTTAAAATTGACCGATATCGCGCGGACCTTCAAACTGTTCAGTAAATGGAAACGTTGTCAAATAACTGTACATTTTTTCTGAATAATTTTTATCAATAAAGTGCAACCTATTATATTATACATATTTGTCAGATGCGATTATATTTTAACTAGATTTAGTGATTAAGCTTCATTGAAACAGCTAATTTGGCGGCGGCGCTTTTACATGACAACGTGCGACATTTGGAAGACAGATTTTTCAATGCTCTCGAAGATATAGTTGCACTGTGTGATTTAACTCGAAAAAGACTGATGAATGTCGTCTCGAATAACGAAAATGAATTTTTATGTAAGTAGATACGTAGCGTAAATACATGCGTGATACGCGCAGTGAGAAATCCTTTTTACTGTAATAATTTACTGTATTACTTATGGATACAAGATGTGAAAAGAACATAAAAAGGGGAAGGTCGGAGATAATAACAAGAAACTATTAAGTCTTTTCTATGATGTCTACAATAACAAAAATAGAACATTCAAAAATATTTATACTTGATGATTATATAATAATTTCAAGTAATCAATCTATTAAAACACGGTTATTTCAATCTTTAAATGCGCGATTAAGTACTTGTGAAACAATAAGTCTCTTTTTCTGGGTTGTTCTAAGACATATTTCAAAATAAAATTTAAGAAATCAAAGAATGAAAGGCTCCATGAAACTACGAAAATCAAAGGGAATTAAACCATCTTTTGACAAAATTACAGATTAATCTTCAATTCAAATACACAATTTTTTAAAATTAGTCAATTAATGATATTCAATATTATGTATAAGTGTGTTATTAACACTTGTAAGATATAATATTTTCCAGTACAATCGGTTTTAAATAATCCCGATTTGTGGACGAAGCCTGTATTGTGGACAAGGATCTTTTCAAAGGTGAGATTCAATTCTAGTCGACCATTAAGCCATTTGGAGATTGTTGAATCGATTTGGCATGGAACACCCAATGAAACGGAAAGTGATCGGTGTCTAATGAGAATCGTGCATAGTAACTTAAACGGAAGGTGTCAGATTCCTGATATTTGCATCCAAATATTAACCAGAGATGACAATCCGATGGGATACCCTCTTACTCACAGATTGCTCATCGTGCAGATTGCTAAAGCAGTGAGTAAAACTTTAATCACATATCTTTATTGATTTTATTAAAAATTTCACTTGTGCATAATTGGATTTTTAAATAATTCGCATTCTTAAACAAAAGGAATTTATTCCTCTTTATTTTATTTATACGGGATGCTCGACAATTAACACAATTTGTGTGCGGATAAAACAAATGAAACTGAACAGAAAAATCTTGTGTCGCTTTGCAATTTTTGAAATAGTTGTTGAGAAACTAATTAAAAAACGTTAACGGAAAATTTCATTACTGTTTCTCAAATTATGTCGATCGTTCGCCTTGTTAAATAACATTTAGAAAATATCAATGTCAACGTTGCATAACTTCATAGGAACGGGAGAAAATTCGAATTTACATAACCGTAAAAAAGATTTAACGTTCACTGACAGAATTATTCAGTATCTATAATATTATGTTTACATGATTCATTCAATTACTACACGTATAAAACATTATTCTTGTCTTTCTACACAATATAATTTAATTGGAACACAATTTAATTGGAATAAAATTTATGTAACGGTGAAATTTAGCTTGGATGTCGAGAGAATAAATTAACACCATTTTCCTACTTGGTGTCTGAATATTGCGCCAAGATTCTGCAGCATCTCGTTGATCTTGAAGCGTGGAATTTCCCAAGTATGGCGGCAGATCTTGCGACTGAACAAAGTAAGTATACGTGCTTAATAATAATGCTTTATGTATGAACAATGAAGTGAAATGTTTTCTAATGAACCTGACGAACTCTTCTCTCTTTAGTTATTCTGTGCGGTATGGAGGGTTACTATGAGTTCGTCGATAAACATTATGAAAATTTGATATTAAGCTGGCCGCATCAAAGCGGCTGTTTCAGCGCATTTAGGTAATTTTTAATATACTACAACTATTATTATTTACTACTATTTGCAACGATTTGTTTATATACCATTATTATAAAGAGACTCATATTGTAATCTTATTATGTAATAGTTACATTTTTTCATTGTAAAAATGATATATTTTATATACATATAATCAATACGTAAAAATTATATTATATAATTATTATAATGTAAACATAATAAATGTATATTACTTTATAAAATAATCTATATTTATATCTGACGTATTGATATTAAATGTTAACTAACTTTTTTAACGCGACATTAACATTTTATTTATAGATATTGTCAAAGTAAAAAGAGAATTTATCTATAACAATCCGTAACAATCTGTAATTTTCTTTGAATTTAGCGCAATTTTATTGCTGCTGCTAATTGTGCTGATATATGATTGAGCTGATAGTGAAATGTCAAATTTTTGAAAACCTACCAAGTTGACACTTGGAGCGCAAAGGGTTAAAATCTGTATCATGCATAGATCTACTTGTAAAAATTATATGATTGAAAATACAGAGAATTTGACATTGATAAATATTTTAGATTTTCTGAAGAACGTCAGATCACTCGGAGGTCGTCATCGGTAATCGATTTTGGATGCGATAGTCACGCGACTGCCCTCGGTGCTGCGAGTCTTGCCATATTTATTCGGAAAAGTGTCGAGAATCCATTCGGTCTACCCCCAACTTAAATATTTTCTACTTTAACATATTGCAATTCGCAAACGATACAAAGTTTACAAGTCGATTTCAACGATTTTTACTATCTGTCAACAACTCTCAGCCCTCGCGATCTGATAATGACGAATTTATCGATGTAATTTCACGACAAAAATGCGCTATGCGCTTTAATAGTTATTTTACATCCGAATTTAGAAGCGTTGAAAAAAATGTTGCAATACAAATTGATTTGACTTTTAATGAAACAAGATGGCACGACGGCCAAATGCGAACCGAAGACTCAGTGTATTGGCATAACGCTTCTTATTAAAATATTTGCTTCCCTTTAGGTAGTTAGGTATTATTTATATAAATAAGGGGAAAGGAAATAAACAATGAAGAACGGAGATTTATTGTTATGATACATGAACGACTAGATATTGATATTGATATGAGAGTTTGCGCATGCACAAACCCGTTTTCGTATCAAAAAACACTTCACTCTTTTGGAATAACAGGATGAACAAAAGTTGATTAATTGACGACGCAATAACCATTTTACCTCATCTTATTGTTACTGGCAGTATCTTTCCCGGAATATTTATATTATAAAGCACAAGTTATAAGCTATTTTACAATATTACAAGTTTTTTTTCAGTAGATTGTCAGTTCGTCAGTTATCTGCGCCTTTTTATTTATTTTTTTGTAGACAATAATTATAATAATCTCTGGCAGTATATCACTTAGTAGTATTTAATTAATAATGTGTAAAAACGCAAGATAATTACTTCGTTAATTAAATGATTGATTAATTAATTTTTGGCTAATTAAATGGTTGCAGATATTGACGTATATGGAATATTTGAAACTGTGCTCAAAAGCAAAGTTACTTAAAATCGTGAGAATATTTGTGCTTGCACATTGCATATATATATATATATATATATATATATATATATGTGCAACTATACTAATGTATATTAATAATAATAAATACCATTTATATATAATTGAAACATTTTACCGTATAGCAATTATTATTACAGGCAGTTTATAAATTGTGTCTACGGAACAATCAATCGTGTAAATAAGAATGTCTGCTTTGGCGCAGTCACGAACAGTGGATATAAATATATTCACGACGCTACTACAGAGATATCTACAATGTGCGAATGAAAATTAAATAAAATTAAAAACTCCCCGCACCTTTACTCTTTTCGACCCTTTATCTTGTACACCGTTTTATATGATAAATCGACACCGTAATAAAAAAGACAGTTTTAGTAAATTTAACATACGACGACATATCGAGAAAAATACTTGGATATTTTTACGATGTACAATGTCCGAACGCCCACTCAACGTGCAATTGTATCTATGTATTCAAATTTGCTTTCATGACCGTCGATAATTGTATGGTTTTCCATATGGGCCTATTCTTCTGTTCATCTTGTCGAACTTCAATTGCTGGAAATAACTATACACCACCAGCCACATGTATATGTACACCACTGTAAAAAATTAAAACATTTTTATCGTATATTTCGATGTGTATATATTCCGTGTAGCACAAAATGTTCCAAAATCATCACATGTACGGAATATTTTAAAGAAAGTATCGTAATATATCCTAAATATATTTAAGATATGATGTTAGGACTTCTTGTGCAATTTAGGACATTTTCACAGATGTAATTTTAATTTCTAATATAATTCTTGCGTGCACGATCATATTGTTTATCAGTATTAACTTTTTATTTAAGGAAAAAAAAGATATTATTGAGGAGTTGATTTTCGAACATGATATATCGGAAGAAATTTTAGAATAGATGTTTTCTTTTTGAGGACGGTATTTAACAAGAATATAAAAATTTTTAAGTTGCATTGGAAGTACAAAGACCAATGGAGTGAAATGAATAATATGAAATACTTACCGACAGCTATTAGACCAAATACCAACCAAAGAACGCCGTTAAGGACTTCGTGGTTTACGAAGAACATGATCGAAGTGTAAAGAACGCTCACAAAAAGAGCGACCGCTAACATAATGCCCAGGACTACCCATGGAAGCATCATAAATGTATTTTTCTGTAAATTGAAGCCGGTTACATCGTCGTGTTACTCATTCAACTAATACTATGTTTTGCGTAAAATCATCTCAGACACACGTAAGATTAATGCATGAAATTTATAATAGAATAACCTTCGTCGCAAAATATTTCGGGTTGTGTTTAACGATTTTATATTAGCTTTTAATGTAATTAATCTTTCGCAGTTTGAAGACTCTCCTCCAATATTTTATTGTCGCTTCTACAAATGAAAATACTTCCTTACCCTCACAGCGCCGATTATGAGCAGCAAAGAGATCAGGATGGTCATGCAGAGGTTGATGGCGAAGATGATTTTTACCGCCGTTTTGTCTAAGATGTCGATGATTATTGTTTTCCATTCTACGTTCACCGTGAAGATCACAATTAGGGAAATCACAGCGAGTACCTATATCGAAACATCAAATTGTACGATATTATTTGCATTTGTTACATCGTATAGTTGTAAATCGGCGCGCTTTACGAACAAGCAAAGATAGAAATGAGACATCGAACTTACGATTCCGCATACTCCGCTGAATATTGTGCCCGTCTTCAAGGAACAGCACCTGCAACACGTTTTCAACTGCATCCTGAAATAGAGAGAAAAAGAAAGATTACTTTTTTTTCTTAATAACCGAATATACTTCGCTATTTATCATTATTATTTAACTATATTGAATATTTCTATTTACTTGACTGAAATTTGATTCATAGAAACAACATACGCGAAATATTATTTGTTTGAGTAAAAACTTTATCGTCCCATTCGAGGAAACTCTATTATTTAACAGAGAAAACGCTATTATATTATTTGAAATAATATCTTTCAACCAAATAAAGTATTATTTGGTCACAATAAATAAGTAAAATGAAGCAAATGATTTTTTCGTAAGAAAATGATCTTTCGTTTCAAACAAATTTTTATTTAAGGTAAAGGCACGTATTCGTTGAAGAATCTAATAATCGTACTTATTAATCGAAACATTAGTTTCTTCGGGGCATGCCGATGATGAAATGTGTTCGAGTGTAAAATTGACCAAATTCAGAGAAATCTTTTTCTCAGCATAAACACGCCATCCATGACGGTTGAACGTCGAGGAAGTTTGCTTGAGGTCTTCCTGTCCCTATAAGGAAACGCGACACATGGTCCACTGTTTTTCCTGCGAACTCTCTCGTTCACGTTCGCCGTCGCACCATCACGTCACCGTCGTAATAGAAGCACCGGCCGATTAAGATTACCTTGCGATCTCCACTAAGTGAGAGAATGTACTTGACCGACACTTTGGAACTTGTATCTGATTCAAAGACGAGCATCCTTGATACTTCTATTATCTTCGTTCATGTGTGTGTGTGTGTGTATGTGTGTGTGTGTGTGTGTGTGTGTGTGTGTGTGTGTGTGTGTGTGTGACGTTAGAAAAGTGGAAGGTCGAGCAATATTTCTTAAAATTTTCATCCATGCCGATCACCCTTCAAAGTTCAAGGTGGTCGGTGCAAAGCAGATAAATCAGGGAGAAGTGGGGGGGGGGAGGAGAGGAACTCGCAGATATGTCAGTAATTCAAGCGATACGACGCATCGGGTGAAAATACGAAATGAATCGAATCATAAACATTGATAACGATTGTATGCTAGTGTGGGACTAGTAGAAGCGCGAAATATAGTTACTGCATAGTTCATAATTCTAATAATCCGACTATAAGCCGGTTTCGTGTTGACAGAAAGATCGCTTTATATGAGAATACTTTGCATGAATTCCCTCATTCCTGATGTCGTAATCGGCAGTGACTAAGGTAAGCTAGCGATCTTTGACATTCTGACTGGTTATGAGAGAGAGAGAGAGAGAGAGAGAGAAAGAGAGATACTCCCACGAGAACGTTTCGAGAAAGAGAATTCCATGCGACTGACTCGTTCTACACAATGCGCAGAAACTCAAAAATTATGATTACAACGAGTATAGGAGAATATGGCTCTCTCCTTCTGACATAGAGTAGTCGTGTTGCTGGTAGATGTATTACGGAAGAGCGCACTATTCTGAAACGTACGATTCTATCCGGCCCGCGCGGGATTACATCATCGCCACAAGAGGTCATTGTGAAGCTCGATTAATCGTTTTCAAGAGAGCGAACAGTTTGAAAGGTGAGTATTGTAGTATAATTCTATCACTCGCGGAAAATGAATGTCATATATGTCACAGAACATTTTTAAAATCATTCCCGCACGTTGATTGCCTTTTTTGCAGCACTGAATAATACGCAACGTCTACATTTCAAGTAAATTATTGAACGATATTATCACACATTACATACAATTTTATGCGCATGTAGAGAAAATTATTAACTAATAATCTAATTTGTATGTTAATAAAAATAAAAATTACCAGTCGATATTTATGCCTTCGTTACTCCCGTCCACGTATTTAAATTTTGCATAAATTTAGTAAATTTTATTCTTCTTAGATTAGCGGTATCGTTAGAACTACTAATGACGTTGACCTCGTTTACATTTTCAAATGCAATAATATGATAAGATACGTGAGCAAAAATTACGCTATGTTGTCACATCGGAATGCGTGTGTGTACTTGTGGATGTTGAGTGTGATTATCGGAATAAGAAAACATTTTGGCGGAAAGTAACGTCGCGATCGACCCGCGTGCGCCTTGCACACGGGATTAACGTTAAATTTAGCCGGTGAGTAAGCGACTCGCGAAAAACGTTGATGGTAAAAATACACAATACTACTCAATAGGAATGGGAGGAGGCCGTCAAATGGGGCAAGATCGGTTCTCTTGACCCAGATATGTCGATTGATCGTGAACGTAAAGAAATGGACGACGCCCTGCAGAGATATTTCGCGTGCGGCTCGATATTTAATTAATATAAGAAACGGAATGTGCGGCTTAAGAATTAGGAAAACGAAGAAAATCGATATTCTTCGGTAGACTAGAATTAACACATCCTAAAGAATCCCGTATTAACTCACGGTCTTATCTGTACGGAAGTAACTTAATTTCCCGAGTTTTCTAAATGTTGTTTACAGCGAAATTTTTTTAAACAAATTTCTTTTTGTTATGTTTCCTTAATTTGTTTTGCTTTAATTATATCTCATTAAAATAATATAATTTTATTAACAAACTGTAATATACATACATAAAATAATAATAATATTTCTAGAATTAATTTTTCAATAATTACTTAATTAACTGTTTACGATTAGTTTCATTTGCCACATATATATAAATTTCAATATAATACAATTATGGAGCTTTTTATAAAAAATAAGCGTATATTTGTATGAGTCGTTTAAATTATCTGTTATACTTATTATTTTATTTATTTATTTATTTATTTCGTTTAATTACATTTGTTTTATTTTAAATATTTGTTATACGGTGGATTCAATAAATGAAGTATATGAATATTAAGGAAGTTAGATAAATTAATTTTATAAATATATAATACCAAATTTATATAATTTTATAATCACACAAATATCATAGAGAGATAGAGGGTTTTTAAGTAAATCCCCTTTAGCCATTTGTACCAAACGTCATTGCGCAGTTTCATCAAAGTAAAAAAGTCAACTTGCGTCAGTGTTTACAGATGCGAAGAATGTTAATGTCATGCGATTTCCAAGTACATACTAACCATACAATCGCGATTCACGTGCCAAATTGCACGTACACTGAGCGTCAATAATATCTGTTCGCTTGTTAAACCTATGATCACTTTTGATTTTATTGACATTAATTTCCAATTATCGCAATGGCAGATTAACTGCTTTGAGACGTTTCACTGCTTTCTTGAATAATCAACAGTTTCAACGTGCGATCTAAATACCTAAACATGATAGGTGGAATAAGAAATGTTTAATTAATTACTATGTGATAGTTATTAATATTTTTTCCAGACCATTTAGAATACATTAGGCGCGTCTAATCTTTGTCAGACTCCATTGATGACTCCATACATGAAAAGTATGTTTTTGTTAAAATTTTATTTTCGCTGTAACAGTTAAAATTTATCAATAGTAATTGACTTGTCAATATCAGCTGATAGCTATCGTATACAATACATATACGTGGCCAGAAAGCAGAATCAACTGAGCGGTGAAAATTAAAGTGAAAAATCTATTAATAGCAGATGAACGATCGTATACATTCACAATATTACGGGTCCGAGCGCGCAAAATCCACACGACGCCAATGATCGGCGCCAATGTTAATCGTTCATATCTAGGGAATTATGACGTGACCATGACATTTTCTTATTAGAATTTTTAATTTATATCGACCTCTGTGGAATGACATTTAAATATATTTTACCTTAGTAAAATTTTCATGTGACATTTAGTGGTTAAAGGTTCACAATTTCAGAAACACTTTTCTAGAATTTTACAACATTACAAACTGAATTCAGCAATTTCAGCAATAGAATAAGCGTAACGTATAATTTCTCGTGACATTTTCGTTATGGAAACACCGCCTGCGAATTTTTCGGAGAATCCTCGATTAGGAAATAGTCCGACGAAGGGGGAGCACACTGTACATACGCAAGCGTGCGTGTACGTGCGTATGTGTATATAATACGCATTAAATAATGCAAATGTCGCGAGCGTACACCTCTATATTGTCTATAAACCGGACCGTAGCGACAGTCGCGAATTGTAACAGCACCTCGTGAAGTAACGATTGGATTACATCATTATTCGAGCCACCTTGTGTACAAGTTACCGTTTTTATCCCGTTTCTGCACCCACCTTCGTCACCGACCGAGTTAGCCTTCACTTTAGATTAATTATCCAACGATAGAGATACATTTCCCGGGTGCTGCGCGCGCTCATCGCTCTCCGGTGGTCTGTTTTCGAAACTGTTTCCGGTTAAATGTCACCGGGACTTCTGTACTCACTTCTTTCAGTACGCGGGACTCGTGTTTTTTTTTCTCCCCCGGGATATACCGCGCGGACAGGTGCCAGACGTGTTCGCGGGAGAGAAACGACGGTCGGAGAAACGGACGCGGAGCGGAACAGGAGGAGGTGCCGCGTGCGCGCGCGCGAGAGAGTACCGCACGCAGGTCCAGCGGAGAAGTATCGCACCGTTCCGCTCGCAATAGGAGATGACCAGAAACTGTGCCAAGAACAGTACGCGACCGCGCCAAACCTCGACGGTGTGTGTACACCTACATGTACACCTACACTTACACCGATATCCGACCAACACACCAGGAAGGCCGGCCGCGCGCAGCATGCGGCCGTCGTGTGTGCTACCGAGGCCGCGAATGGCATATATCGCGCGTGTGACGCGGAGATGCGAGGAGACGCGCGCGGAGGACGCGCGAGGAAGAGAGCGAGTCTCTCTCGGAGCCCGCGCGCTTGCTCGCGTGTGGAATCGTACGAATCCCACGTAGGATCTTTTTGCGCGCAGATTCTTAATATGCGGGGCAGAAGAAGATGAGATAAACCCCC